TGTGGGGGGGGGGGGGGGGGGGGGGGGGGGGGGGGGAGTGTGTATGATCCACAAGCATTTGAAAGTACCATTAATCCCCTTTAACTTATCACTTTTCTGAGAAATATTCACGTGATCCTTCTAGATTAATGATATTGTGTAGTGTGGTGCCCCCTAATTCATCTCTCTTCTGGAAAAAAGAAAACTGAAGCAAACAGATGCTCCTCTGAAATTCTGGCCCTACTTCTTCAAGTAACTAAACCCTTGTTGAAAAGAAAGTGCCCATGCACATAGTTTAAGCAAAATCTAAGTGCCATACTGCCCACTAGTGGGTCTTAAACAAATCATCCTAAAAGATGAATGAATTTGATGGGTTTTCTTTAACTGCATGACATGGAAAATAATTATCTCAAGTCCAGACTTAAATAACCATAATCGTTTTTTTATTTCATTTTGGGTAGGACTAGTTGTGGTATCTTTCACAGCTTCTTGTTTCAGTTGTGAGAAACTTGACCTTGTAAATTGCAACCTTGCCTATCACGAAAAGGTGAGCATCTAGAAACATTGAAGATCATGCAGATTCATAAATTACAGGGGCTGTTGACATCTAACAATCACCACATTTGAAGGAGAGCATTAACCGCACCTGACGTATCCACCAATAAACATAAGTGGAAATTTTGAACCCCTTTGAAGAATCAAATTTTTCAATCCCCCGGAGTAGTCCAATCAGGCCGCCCTATATAAGCAATGGAGGAAATACCTCAAATTAAGGGGAAGTAGTCACACTGAGCACACAAATACATAGGTGCAGGATATTAGCATCCCCAAGTTGAAGTCAAAGGGCAACTCACTTGAACAAGGTCAGCCATTTCAGCACCCATGTTATCATATCTTTGTGCAATAGACATGACTAGACGAACATTGCTCATAGCCAGCTTTTCTCTTGCCAAAGAGCACTCAATCAGAGTTGTTTGTAAATCAGCACGAGACATTCTCAAGGATCTTGCTAGTTGCTCCTCTGAAGGTTCACATCCTAATCTTCCTTTCAATCTGAAATTCCCATATTACAAGAATCATTCAAGCATGATGATTATAGATTTTTTTTCTTCAAATCGACAGGCATGCTCAAAAGGGGGAGGAGTAATATGGACACAGCAGTTGAAGAGGAGATAAAATATCTTTCCATGAGCTTTTACAAATTCCAATTTCTAAATTGAAGGGGTTAATTGAAAATAACTCCTATATAAATTAGAATAAACCCAATCAGGATCTAGTTGCCTTTTTATTTGTCAGGTCAAGAATTTTTTTTGTGATTTATAAATACTTGGTGCCACTTCTTTGCAAATGATGACTAAGAAAGGAGTAATTTACAGCCCGAATCAAGTCATCAGTAGATCTTCAAACAAAAGGGAAGCAAGATAGCAAAAAAATTAAGAACTATGTAGTTCAGGCTTCAGACGCTAAGCAAATGACATTAAAAAAAATCTTACATTTGCAAAAGATGGATACAATGTAAGTTCTTGTATTCTCCATATAAAATCAATCTTTTTCAAAATCAATACTTTTACAAGAACTTTTATATGTTGGCAAACTATATCCTGTGCTGTAAATACAAAAATATAGTTAAAATGCTTCATTTAATTATGTGAGCAATACAGAGAAGAAAAGAGATTTTACTTACCTTGATTTCTGCTCGTCTAAGACAAGACCAGTTTTAATTTTTTTGGATAGTTGCACTACTTCAGCATGGGTGAGCAATTCTTCACTTATTACACCCTTCACATAACCTTTCAAATGATTCTGAAGGAGCTCTGGGCTGATAATGGACCTGAGCTGTCTACTTGTACTGAGTTGCATAGTAGAAGTTTTTTGGCTCAGAATTTTTCTCCGAGAATCTATTCTCCGCCTCCTAGCAGAGATCCCAGAACAAGTGACCTGCATCTTCTTGTGAGTTTTTTCTCTTAATGTCGAAGTTACTATTGCCTGCTCAGTCGACAGATTCCACTGCTTTTCAAGCATTGACTTCTGTAACAAGAGGAGAGCCTCCAAAGAAAGTTCTGGATCAGGACTTTCTTCCTCCACATGGTTGAATCTCTGAAGATGTGCCTCTACATTTGGAGGATCAGAAGCAGTATCTACATGTTCTTTTAGAGCCTTGATGGATTGTTTATGTCGATTGGAGAGAAAACTAGGGGTATAATGTGATGACTTCTTTGCAGTGATCACATTCTTCGTTGAAGCAACCTGATGGTGTGACAGTGAATGGTCGCAGCTGGAGGACAGCTTTTCTGTAAGATCGGAATAATAGAAGGAGGAACTCAAGAGCCTCTTCCCCGCATTCAGTCCAATTACTGCAGCAGTGGCCATCCTAAGATTGCCTCTTGCTTGTATGCAATAACATCACACGTGTCTAAGAAAGTTNGAATGGTCACAGCCGGAGGACAACTTTTCTGTAAGATCGGAATAATAGAAGGAGGAACTCAAGAGCCTCTTCCCCGCATTCAGTCCAATTACTGCAGCAGTGGCCATCCTAAGATTGCCTCTTGCTTGTATGCAATAACATCACACGTGTCTAAGAAAGTTGGTGACCAAAAACATTATGCCACTATTTTCAGATTGCAATAGTCACCAGACCTCAACAGAAGGGCCGTCTAGGTCTCTAAAGTTTGCTCCTTGATCGCCTGTTATCCCACTGGAATATACCCAGGAAAGAGAAGAAAATAAGAAATCATAGAGAGAATTTAGTCCAAGGATTTTATTTTTTTTCTGAAAAAAAATAAATTGTGTATTGACATAGAGATCTTCCAATTCCTGGCTCCAATATCATTTACTTTGATGGTGTATTGGCAGCATAAAATTATATTGGAGCCAGAGGATGCTTTAAACATGAAAGAGGTCCATATGAGCAGTGAAGGGGGACAAATATTGATGATACAATTNTTATAGAGAGAATTTAGTCCAAGGATTTTATTTTTTTTCTGAAAAAAAATAAATTGTGTATTGACATAGAGATCGTCCAATTCCTGGCTCCAATATCATTTACTTTGATGGTGTATTGGCAGCATAAAATTATATTGGAGCCAGAGGATGCTTTAAACATGAAAGAGGTCCATATGAGCAGTGAAGGGGGACAAATATTGATGATACAATTGTTATGTTCTCTGCTTCTGTGGGGAACAATGCAAGGCAGGTGAGAAGGGAAAATAAGATTCAAAATTTAGCACAGGAAGCAAATGAAAGAAGCTCTATCATAATTAGTATGTGGATGCAGTGTAGCAGGTAGGTGATGTGAGGACCATAAGTTGTGACATTAAGCTTTAAAATTATAAAACCAGATGCTCGAAATCATTAAAGCTCCGTTTGCATCAAGAAAATTTCATGAAATTTGATAACTATTCACGTAATTGGACCTTGGGTAATCATTGCTATTATGAATATGTGTCAAGAAACTCATACTGCTTAATCCTCGGCATCATTGATGTTTTTTTAATAAGTTTGTGATGAACACCGTGACTAAAACATCAAAAGCATAAACAAATCCAGAAATAGAACAATAATTAAACAAGGAGACGGTGTATCTACGCTACGCTCAACGAAAACTCATTTGTAAAATTGGTTAGATCGAGAGACTCGTAGACATAAAAGCTACATCTTTCCAGATCAGATTTATATTTTGGAATAGCAGAGGGAAGAAAAAAAAAACAGAACCTGATGCTTAAATCCAACATGGGATCAACATGAAATCGTCAAAGAATAGCAGAGAGAGATGAGAAGAGGGGAATGGAGTGGGAGATGAGCGAACGGTTTACCTGAATTTGTTGGAAAGAAAGAAGAAGGAAAGTGTGAGCAGTTGGAGTTGGACGAGATAACCGAAGCGAGTGAATGCTATTGCTAGCCGCTAGGAAATGGAGGAGGCACCGTTGCAACAGAACCGAATAAAAATTGTTTTCTTCTTTGCCTTTCAGCTTTGTTGATTTTTGCCTTTTCAATAAATACTTTTTACTTCACACATTTCTATATAATGAAACAGGAGTGTATTTGAATTTTATCTCAGTCATATTTTTCTCTTCAAAACTATCACTAATTATTTATCTCACCTACCGTCCATTTGACAGACTCAAACGTCAAATAACATCACTCATTTCTATCATATATTTAATCATTTATATATTTCCTTCTTAAAAATATCACACAATTCATTTCTATCATATATTTAATTAATTTATAATTAATATATTTTAAAATAATTTAATATAATATGATCAATTTTTTTGACACTTAAATTTTATATTTTATCGTGCCTTCAAACACGAGTTATGACTAATATATATATATTATATGTATATATATTAATTGGATTTTGTTATTTCGGATAGATATCGAATGGAGAGAGACCATTGGCTGGGATAGATATTTGGTCCAGCTACGAGTGGTGCACGCCTTTCCAAGTTTCCCAAATGCCACATGTACAAATGCTCCTTCTTTATTTGTCTTTTGCTCTGCACAAGAACCCAAAAAACCAAAAAAAAACCCATAAAAACTTCAACTAAAGATATTTTTTTTAAAGAAAAATCTTGATGCACGTTCGATACCCTATTATGTACTTATTAATATAAAGTAATGAATTTAGGGGGAAAAAAAAGTGTGGTAAGCTTTTCCTCATTTTAAATTCTAATTTAATTAATTATAAAAATATGTTGGCCAAATTTCTCCAAGATATCCACTGTCACAATTGTTACCCATGTAACTATTCCTTTGAAATTTAAAAAATAAGTGAGATGGGGTCAGGGTTAAAATAAAAATGAAAATTCATACATTGTGCCTCCTAGTAAATATCTGTGACTGTGCCAACCGAATGATAGCAGAGAAGGAGGGGGGGAGGGGGGTGTCTCAAACCAAGACAGAAAAGAAGAGAGAGGGACGAGAGGAGTGAGGTTCCCGCAAAACAAATTAACAAACGGGATTGGATTTTATTTGGGAAATGTGGAACAATCAAAAACAAAACGTTGGACCCACGGCTCAAACCTTATTAATTAAAGATTGCTTGAAGCATCGTATTACAACCTCCACCAACTGGTATAGTGAGTGCTGGGTTGGTAATGGCTAGGCTAGTCAGTCTACCAGAGTTGATGGTAGCGATACGAATGGCCGTGAATTTGAAATTTTTAATCCTAAAATTAAGAAACCAGATGAAGATCGTGCAACACTTTTAAACGTCAGGAATGAAGTACAGAGGGGATAAAATGAAATTTCCTCTTAGTTTAATTTTGAGAGGATGGATAATTGGAACAAACAAAGCACTACCTTCAAAATCCTAATTCCAAGAGACTCAAAAACTTGTTTACAAGATTGGATTAAAAAGGGATTGAGCCATCCATTTAAAACAAAAAAAACAAAAAAAGAATCACCCCCTATAAGTATAAGGGTTACAACTTCCATAATCATGAAGAACTAAGGTAACGGAAATTCCCGCCATCACCATGGGCGTGACTTGTGTGTTGATCAACAATTATGTGACCTATAGCATTGATCACCACAGGAACCAACCAGTCAGTCGCTGACTTGTTAAATCACAAATTTTGCATTTTCGAAACATATGCAATGTGTTTTTTTGGAAGGCCAATATAAGAAGAATATTGATGCTAGCAGAGTGACAGAAAAAGAAGGAAACCATAATCAGATTATATTTATGCAGGCACAATGAATGAACACGGTGTGGATGAGAATTCCACGGCATGAGTCCATAAGGCAGGTGGAACTACTGAGTACAACTTTTTCCTGCCAACTCTATTACGTTTATCCCTTCCTTGCAACAGGAGGTAAAGCTACTTCCAACATTTAGGCAATTCTTCCATAGTCTTTTCTTCCCCGAGATGTTGGCGGAATATTGGAGACAGGATGGTTGCCCCTCCGTCCTACAACAGAAACAGAAAGGAAAAAAGATGGTGGACTTAGTAAATGGGAGGAAAAAAGAACATTATTGCTTCCAGGAGAACGGAGAGGGAAAACGAGCATAGTAAAAGTGGAAAAAAAAAAAAAACAATAAGGCATTTGATTGGATGCTGGACTTAGTAAGTACCCCATGACGTGCTATGGCTTCCAGGGGAACGAGGACCTCCGGAGTTAAAGCTGGAAAGAGAAGCCTGGACCTTAACATGATTCCATTCACTGCCACGGACAGCTGTAGATCTCCCATGATTGAACCGCTGAACAGGCTGCTGCCCAAAACGGCTCGGAGAATTTTGTACGAATTGAGGCATAAAATTTGAAGGCTTCGTCATGGGTTGACCATAACCACCAAGCAGACCAAGGGCCAAAGGTGGGCCACCGACTTCTCCACATGAAGATGGTTGAACCGGCCCATTTGGTCTGTGATCCACAAAAAATATATACAATAGATGAAAATTAAGTTGAACATCCTAGCTGAATATTTTGGTGCGGGTGTGTTTCAATCAATCCTCCGCCAAAATTCCACACACGCACATATGTTAAATTTAAATCATATAAGAAAATATAAAGCCA